CTTTTTCTTGTGTGTGCAGAACCGAAAGCCAAAAACCCTCAGTTATTTAAGGCTTCAAATGACCCTTACATGCTCATTATTCATAGACGTGGGAGGTTATAAAGAAACTGTTCCCTCCAATTAATCAAATTGAATAATAAGAATATTTGTGTATAAAGGCCCAAAGCATATTATACTTAATGACCCAGACTCTTTCATATTCACGGTAAAGCCTCATAGGCTTATATATTAGGTCAATCCACCAAGGGTGGATAACCCAACACTAACATTATTCTTGCAGTTGTTTCAAAAGTCATCGCCCAACCCACACCAACTCTTGTACCTATCAAAGTGTCCCAATTGTTGGACAAGTTTAAAGATGTGGCACTCGAGGAATTACCTTTAGAATTGCCACCCATGAGAGATATTCAAATGCAATAGACTTAGTTCCTAGATTGCAACTTCCTAACTTATCGCACTATAGGATGAATTCGAAAGATAAAGATGAGCTAAATCAGTAAGTTAACAAATTACTCGAGAAAGGTTATATCTTGCTTAGTCTTAACCCCTGTGCTTTACTTGCCCTCCTAACCCTAAAGAAAGCCCTAACTTTCTTTATAGAGTTTTAAAATGACGTCGACGACGACAATGATAATGATGATGATGATGATGATAATTCTAAATATAAATCATAAATCTAAATATAATCTTAAAGATATTAATATCTAAGATAATAATAAAATAAATAATAAATCCTAATTCTAATGGATAAATATCCTTATTTAAATATTCCTAATAGATAATCCTAATATTATAAATAAATCCTAATTATTCTAATTAATCGTTATTTGATATTCCATCACATCCACTCTAAATGTGGCAGTTCATTTGGAAGCTAGGAAATCAATTTTTGTAAATTGAACCTGGAGGAGTAAATCAAACCTTGACCGCAATGCGAGAGAAGTAGATAGTAGCTTGAACCTTTATCTGAACGGCAAGTGTGATCAAAACCATGCTCTGTTCTCAGCTTTGAAGCTTCAAATCGATGTGGAGGAAGGATCCAGATCCTCCTAGGCTCCCACTCCCTCAGCGTCCCTTAACGCCAGGGAAATCTACACCTTCAATCCATATCTAATATCTTATATCTTGCCACATCATCCCATATTAAAATAATTTTATTTTTAAAAATAATTTTTTATACCTTATTTCACTACTTTATATATATATATATATATATATTAGGATAATGATTCAAACTATTTTTTTTATTTTTTGATAATTAATGGAATATAAATTTAATATAATGAAAAATAGATTAGTCAATATAATTTATGCTTATTTTTATCTAAAATTTATAATTTTAATAAAATAATTTTAAATTAGTTTTAAAATACTTATGTGTATATTTTATTTGCATGTGTGATGTTTTGGTTTTGGACTTAGTAAATTATATAATTTAATAAATATTGTTATTCAAATCTCTCTTTCATGTTTTATTTGCTTTACTGAGACATTCTAGTTTTGTCCCAATCTTAAACAAGATAGGACAAATTTTGAGATTAGATAGGGTATGTGACAAAAATTTAATCTCATTAATTTTTTAGAATGAAACATGGGATTGGATTGTCGCTTTCTCGTCCCATGAAATCCTTAGAAATAAGAATCGATGTTAATAAACATAAGGGGTAGGATGTGGAATTTTCTTTTTACAAACATTAAATTATTTAAATTTTGGACCAAGATTAGTTGAAAAAAATACTTATATTTTAGATGGGAGAAAACTATCCATGATGAATACTAAATTATTTAAATTTTGGACTAAAACTAAAAGAGGCTTTTGTAGGGTGGGACTAGAGATGAGAATATGGGCCAACCCGACCCATATAAATTAAGAGAAATATAGGTTAGGTTGGGTTTAACTTGTTTTTATATGAGTTGAAAAAATTTCAACCCAACCCAACCCTTGAGGGTTGGCAGACTAAATGGACTAACCTGCCAACCCATTTTTTTTAAATTTATTTTTATAATTTTTTTAAAATACACCTAAATAATAAGTTTCAATTTGATATTTCTTCATGATTTATTCCAAATATACCAAAATATTATTTTATAATGTTTGTACAAAATATATAAATTGATACAGTTAAATAAATCATGCTTGATATGGTTTATATTCACAAAATTTTCTCCTTTTCTCCTTTTTTTTAATTTTTTTAACAGTAATACGGGTTAAACGGGCCAACCCTAACCCATCAGAGTTAACCCATATAGTTCATAGGTTATATGGTTTGGGTCAGAAAAAATTCATTTTTATTTAGGTTAATTTTTTTTAACCCAACCTGACCCTTATGATCGATTATTCAGGCACCCATATTTCCGATTCTAGGTAGGACGATGGGTATAGATCAATCGCAAACTTCAATAAATATTTTTTAAAAAAATTAAGTGAAAAATCGGCTTCAGTATTTCATAGAAGCCAACTTCGGTGACATTCTACTGAATATGTCATAAGTCAATTTTTAAGATTATAGCATTGTGGAAAATAGTTTCAAAAAGTGTGGCATTTAGGGACGGAAAAATTTATATATTTAATATATTTATTTTCAATTAAATTAAGACATATAAATTTTTTATAAATTATTTGTTCCATAATAAATTTTTATTATTAATATTATTAATATATTAAAATCTACTTATCATAATTTGATTGAATAAAAGTATATTATATGTATGAAACTAAGTATTAAATTTTTTTCCTTTAAGTGAATTCTTTTTTAGCTTTTAGCATTCTGCTCAATTTTTTCAATAAAATTCATTAAATATATTTTACAATTTTTCAAAAGATATATATACATTCTTAAAAATACTCTTCATTTAATATAAACTTATTTATAAAATATTAAATAAAAAGAGAGAGAAATATAATAAAGAAAGAACGGTAATATTAGAGCAAATATAATTAATAAAAGAGCAAGGCCATGAAAAATATATTAACCAAAAATTATGAGAGAAGTTTTCAAAAATTTTAAAATGTAGCCTATTTACAATTAACTGGTGTGTGATTTTTTTTTTATGCTCAAAACAAATAAAACTTGCATAACAGAATAGCAAATTTTTCATAACTAAATGATTATAATCGTGGCCCATTTACAATCTTATATCATTTCAATATTCAAACACTTTTGAATACTTCATCATCAGCTTAGTGGGCATCATATATTTCAAATTTGAGAATGAGAATAAGATTTTAAATTTTAAGAAAATAGAAAATTTTTATCATTTCCATTTAACTTAAATATTAATCTGACCACATTGCAAATGCTAGGCTGTTATCTTTGTTTAAATTTATTAAATAGGTTATATGTGCAAAAGCCTCTTAATAAAATCATATTTTTTATTAAATCATTTTACATTTTAAATCATCGTATCACTTTCAAAAATATCTTATAAATTAAAATGGAGGAAGAGTCATTATCGGGGTAAGGCTTACTCCCTTTATTGAAAAATATAAGGCATTTTTAACCCAAATTCTCCTCCATTAAAGTAATTAATTGTTTTCAAATTATTATCATCTTTTCATATTTACCTTAATTTAATAAAATATTTACTTTAAAATAAATATAAAGTAATTTATTTATTATACGTACTTTTTAAAAAATATAATAATTATACTTTAAAATATTAAAAATACTTCATATTTTTTAACATTTAACTCTCTTATTTCTCTCATAGATGAGGCCAGTAAAAAGCTAGAGAAAGAAACAAAAAAAGACGACAAAGTCTAATTCATATGGGGATTAACCCCATTTTTGTCAAGCAAAATGAGGCTATCACAACCATGTGGCTATAGTCTTGAGCCATTCTAGCCAAGAAATCAGCACAAGAGTTTGCATCTCGAGAAATATGCAGGATCTTGTAGTCTCTGTGGCCACATATGATCTCTTAAACTTTTGAAATAGCATCAACAAAAGGGTGATGAACATATAATTTTTTAAAAAATATTTAAAGATGTATTCTTAGGTTTATTATTTTTATTTATTTATTTATTTATTTTGTGAACACAACGGGGCAAAAGCCCAAACTGAATAAACAAAAATGGTACTCGAGGGCTAGAATAGCCTAAACTATACATTGGTTTGAATGAACATAATTGGATGAAGTACATGTAGCAGCTGGACGCCGTCGGTCTGAATGAAGCACATGCGACACTTTCATCCATTCGTCCCCCGAGTTCACGTGTAATACTTCTAATGTAACTGTTCTTTGATGTTCCTGTGAGCAAGAGCTCTATCAATCATTTTAAAATTTATCTACTCAGTCTTATATAATTTATATTCAATTAAATCATCAATAATGAATTTTAATATACTAATAAAATTAATAATTAAAATTATAGAGACTGAAAATATTAAAATTATAGTGACCTAAGCAATCAACATCACCTAATATTGTTGAAAGTAAATTAAAGGTGTTTAAAGTTATACCATTTCAATCAACCCGTACCTATCCCAATCACATTAGGATTGGTTTGTCCCGGCCTAAAAAAATTGGGACAAGACATTTGCAAGGCAAGACAAAAAAAAGCTCAAGATACCCTTCAAGATGTCCCATCCAGTCTCAATATTATATAAATATATTTCTTTCATTATATATGTTAATTGTTATGTTACTTTTATTGCTAATTTGTTTATATTTTTTTGTTTATTTAATTTTGTAATGCCCTGTGATACTCGGTCTAACCAAACAAGTTGTGAGATATTTTTTCATAATTATTGATATTCAATTAATAAATTAAAAGCACAATTCCAAATTGCTACCATTCAAGTACTCTAATAAGTTTATTTTTCGAGCCTATGCTTGAGCCTGATTGTTGTTACTTATGATAGTTTGAGTTTACAATATGCTCTAACCATATAGTTTGCATATGCACAAGGGCTCTTATATTAGGGTGTCTCGAGTCCTTATTTCTATTTGTTTATGCATTAAAACTCAATTAATTAATCATATATATAGAAGTATGATGCTTGGTGCATATTGGTTAAGTATTACTAATCATTTAAAAATACAAGGGTAACTAAAGAAAGTAAGAATGGTTACCACGACGTTCCAATCTTGTTCTGACTTCTATAAAGACAGGATGGCTTTTGAAATGGGTCAAAAAATGCAATAAAATTTGAATCCCAAACAAACCATCTAGTAAACACACCTAGCTGAAACTACAAAGACTGACAAACTGGGGGAAAAAAAAAATACAAAAGCTAAAAGTAAAACTCAATAAAATTATAAGAACTGATAATTGTATTTTCTCATATTATTTCCCAATAGAATGTTAACCATTTTTCTTGGGTTAACAGAAATTTAAACATTTTAAAGTTAACTTGAATAACAAGGAGCAAAGCTGACCACTTTCCTTGAGGTTGGCACGTTGCATCGTTCGCTTTCCTTCTTTCCGAAAGCGACAGGGCCAATATAATGATTCTTTTCATTGCCTCTCTCACTTGCGGAGTCTCCTTCTGTTGAAAGTTAACTTGCTCATGAAGGAGACACTGACCTGTTGCAGTATTATTTATACTTTCCTCTCTCATTACTTTTTGCCTCGCGCTTTTCGTCACCGATTTGAAATTGCAGACTGAGAGAATAAGGCTTGGAGCTTTCACAGGCAATCTTGGCACTGATATCATCATGGACAACAATGTGGCACTGAAATTAGGTAATTTCGTGCCTGTTATTTATTTTTCTTATTACCTTTCATGTTTTTTTTTTCTTTTTGACCATTTATGATCCGATTCTTACAGTAAACGAATCCTATAATGAAGAGCAACCTCATTACATCCCACCTGAATTGGTCAACAGGTTTTCACACATTGATGGCAATGCAGTGTATCACTGCTATTTAGTAGACTTGAAACAAGACTTTATCAATGATATTTCTCCTAGTGATGTTATCCTTGCTACAAGGTGTGAGCTTGACCCAGAAGTTATTGGGTTAATGGAATTTAAAATGTGTATTGACCGAGGGAGCCTAACAGTAAAGTTTAATTACATCGGAACAAAAAATCTTGGCCTAAATGAGGTATGCCACTTTGTTCTCCTTATGGGTAGTACTTCCTCTAGATCACAATTTAAAACATCTTCTAGACCTTACTTGATTCAAAATATAGAACATTAAATAACTTTTATATTTGTTTTTCAAACAATACCTCTATTTTATTTTACTCTTTCTGAAAAAATCAAGCATTGAAATTTTAATTGCTATTATCAATGTTCTTATATAATGTATTTAATGAAGGTATAAATAAAAAGATGTGAATATTTTTAATAATTTAAAAGTTCTAACATTGTTTGTAAACCATATATTAGTTAACTATAACTTATATTATAATTCAGAGGACGTATAGCATAATAGCAGGTGCTACAAAGTTTAATGAAGTTACTATGTTTTTGTTCTGTTGTCCCTTTTCAGGTTCTTTTGTGCAGAAGATTCCAGGTCGCTGTGTTTGGGATTCTTTCTGGCTATGATATGGCTAAGTTGACAGACATTTTAAATGAACTCTGTTTGGAAGATGATCTTGAGGTTGATTATCTTCTTCTTCCATTCACTACCACACATCAAAGACCTTTCACCATTGACTGGCCTTCATCTCAAGAAGGTTGCAACAATCATATTGCAAATGCATACACTCAAGATGGCCTTGTTTGTTCCTGTGAACTTGAAAATTCATTGGTCTATACTCCTCATAATGGTCATTTTTATATCATTACTGGTATAATGGAATTGGATGGGAACTCTCGGCTAAGACAAAGGAATGGCGAAGCAATTACATACAAAAGATACTATGAAGAAAAGTGAGATAATATTTGTTGCTGAGGTCTTGTTTTTAAGTTTATATTTTCCATTGGGTTTTTTACTCTGACATGTTCTCATCCATTGTCCTACATTTCAGGTATGGAATTCAATTATGTTTTGAAAACCAGCAGCTATATAATGGAAGGCATATATTTCAAGTGCAAAATTACCTACTCAAAAACAGACAAGTGAAGAAAAGAGGTTTGAATTTTGATACTAGTATTTGAACTTGTACTGGTACCTTCCATTTGGAATGGGAAGAAAATAAGAAGGAAAGAAAACTATAGGAGAATAGTAGAAGAAAAAGACATTTTTCCATTCCTAGCATAAAGTTTTCCCCCTCTCTCTAGGGAGAAATGAGGGGAAACAAGGGTATGAAATGTCTTTTTCCTCTAGTTTTCTCCCCTAATCTTCTCTCTTATCTGTTCTCTTCCCATTCCAAACAAATATGTAAAGTTTCTTGTGCAGGATGATTTCTGGAAAGAACATACAATTTTTTTTGCCCATGAAACAAGTGCAAAGGCTATATTCAGTTGTTCCTATAAGTTTCATCTTTCTAACTTTTCCTTGAGCCATTTTTAGTATCATGTTTCTCTGTGTGCTGCTGATTATATACTATTTTTCTTCAGAATCAACCAGGGCTTCAGTTGAACTGCCTCCTGAACTGTGCTCTATTGTTATGTCACCCATATCAGCCAGTACAATATATTCATTATCATTCATTCCACCAATAATACATCGTCTTGAGTCATTGCTTGTGGCTTCCAACTTGAAAAAGATGTGTATGCAAAATGATATTCCAACAGACAAGGCAAGCCAGTATTCTTTTGCTGTGAAAATTTACCATCAGGATATAATTATAGTAGTTATATTTCCATGTCTTGCCAAGGATTGAAAATTTCATGTCTTTCTACTGAGGCTCATTAACTACCCATATGATGAAGGAAAGGAATATATGTTTTTCTAGATTAATCAGTTATAGAGAAGTATTTTTCATTTTTTGGACCAAATAGATAAAGAGTTTTAATGGAAAAAGCAGGACACTAGATAATCAAAGCAAAAGAATTGCTCTAGCCTCCTTTTTCCGATATCTTCTCAATGAATACACAATGAAGAGATTAATCAGCAGGAAAATGGTAGTTAAGTCCAGGAAAAAATATTAACGACAGTTAAATTCCTAATAAAATTTTATGAAAATAAGTGATAAATATCAATTTAAATAATTGCAAATTCATGAGTTCTAATTGCCAAAAAAATATTTAATTTCTAAATATAACTCTTAGTTTGTAACTGAAATTCCTGTTTGTAATTGTCTAAATCAATATTTGCAACTCATTTTTTAAAAAATTTTATCAAAAACTTAACTATCATTAAGTTCATCTTTCAGGACTTTACTATAATTCTCCCTTAATCAGAGTACCAAACAATAATGTGAAACTTTTGTCATGATGCGAACTTACTATAATAGCATCTTTTGGCTTAACTATGTTGGGTCTCCTAAATATGGGTGTCTAATCATTTGCTTAAACATGCTTGATGGATTATTCTGTTTGCCATCTCATTTTTTAAGAAGGTTTGACTCTGTCATCATGTCCACTGCAAACTTCTCCATCTCTTACTCATGCTTTCATTATATCTTAACGATAGAATTTTATTTTATTTTCTACATTTGTTGTGTTTGTTCCAGTGTTTTTGGTGATACCTATACTAATGGCATTTGCTTTGTTCGTTGTAGATCTTGGAAGCAATTACTACAAAGGAATGTCAAGAATCATTTGACTATGACTTGCTAGAGACTCTTGGAGATTCTTTCCTTAAATATATTACTTGTCAGCATCTTTATCAAACTTATCCATTTGATCCTGAAGGTCCCCTTACTGAGAAGAAGAACAAGATGATATCTAATGCCTCTCTTAGTAGGCTAGGGTGCAACTCTAAACTTCCGGTATTCTTTCTTTCTCACCTTAATCACATAAAACACCCATACTGGATCGGAGTATAGAGCCATTAACCCAAAAACTCACGAAGAGAATAGACTTTCTACAAGGCACAATAGATGTACTGTGAGAGAGAAGAAAGAGAAGAGAAAAGAGTGAATCGAGAAGAGATATTCAACTTTGGCATGTGCTTTCTCTCCAGCCAGCCTCCTCTATCTGTAGTGTGGATGGCTGACATAAATTAAGAAATCGTGTCATAGTAAATCCTATCTCATTGTGAGAGGATGATTACAATTTATGATATATCCCATAACTTGAAAATTAAGCTTCTCTAAATGCTGTCAATAATTACTTGATTTTTCTCAAAACTAATTTAACGGAAATAAAATTATATTAAATACTAATTAATATAATATGATATCTGACTTAACAAAGAAAAATAAAAATCCACTTATGTGTTGTGCTGCATTCTGAAATGGCTCCTTCTTTCTCTCCCTAACTTTCTTTCCTTTTTTTTTTTTTTTTGTCAGGGCTTCATACGAAGCAGACCTTTTGATCCAAAGAAATGGATTATACCAGGAGATAGGTCTAGAAATGTTACTTTGAAAGAGGAATTGGTCTCTGATATGACAAAAATGTATGTTGGTGGGAACAGAAAAATGAAATATGAAATAATTGCTGACGTTGTTGAAGCCTTGATTGGGGCTTTCCTCAGCACAGGTGGAGAGAAAGCTGCTTTGAAGTTTATGGATTGGATTGGAATAAAAGTGGAATTTGAAATAACGCCTAATAAGAGGCTTTTAAACATAGATCCAGAGAGACTTGTCAATGTCAGATTTCTGGAATCCTTGTTAAACTACTCATTCAATGACCGTTCCCTCTTGGTGGAAGCTCTCACCCATAGCTCTTACATACAGCCAGAAATTCCAACATGTTATCAGGTACTTTAAAAAAAATGGTTGGGTTATATGCATGCTTTCTTAACTGATTTTCATGTTGGCATCTTTTCAGCAAAACCATAAACAGTATTTGGACTCTAACCATAATACAGAGTTACAGACACTTGAGATGAGACAGACTTGGAGTTAGGTCTGGGACTATTGGCATGCAAGTCATGATTTTCCACCTAATAGTTATTCCTTTGATACTGTTTATAACTTATTTTTAATTACCTTACCAAAACCAACAAGAGGTGGTTACATTATTAATGTCGTCTAAAAAATAAGGAAATTTTTCAATTTATCCTTATTAAATGCATCATCTTTAAAAATAGTTTTTCTCTCCCATAACTTTTTACTCCACTCGTCAAAAATTGTGAAAGGGTAAAATTTGAAGAAAGTAATTGATGATCCACATTTTTATATAAAGTGACTTGTAAAAATGACCATGAATTCCTTTTAGAAGGTAACTTATACATAGGATCCGAGGAAGTATCTATGATAAGCTAAATCTTCAAGGTCATCCCATTAGAAGCAGCTTGTCATTTGGAAGTTTTGATGTAACCCATGAGTAGTTTTTTTTTTTTTTTTATATATTACTTTCATAATAATTGAACACTGTATATGTATAAAATGCTTTGTCCCTGCAGCGACTAGAATTTCTTGGGGATTCTGTGTTGGATTTTCTCATCACTGAGCATCTCTACAATAAATATCCTGGCCTGTCTCCAGGGTTGTTGACTGACATGAGGTCTGCTTCCGTAAATAATGATTGTTATCCTCAGTTTGCCATTAAGGCTGGGTTACACAAACACATAATCCATTCCTCTCAAGAATTAGAGAAGAATATTGTTAAAGCGATAAATAAGTTTGAAGAGTCATCTACTAAACCAACTTTTGGATGGGATGCAGAGACATATTTTCCTAAGGTTAGCACTTACTATTCATCTTATTGGTCTTCAAATAATAATTTAGTTGAGTCTATGATTATTCATATTACTGTTACAGTGGGGTTTTAGTGCTTACATTCAAATATCATTTTGGTAAATTTGCTCACCATTAGAGTATATGATCTTACTTTTTCATCCTCTATTCACATGAAAATGTAGAGGGTGCATTCAACTAGACTAGAGAGTGACCTAAGAATCTCATAATTAGTCATGAAATCTAAGGGCTTGTTTGATTGAGTTCCCTTTTTTTTTTTTTTTAAACGTTCTTTTATTTTCATACTACTTTGATTGAGGAGTGGGAAGAAAACAGGGAGGATAGAAAACTTAGAGAAAAATTTCTAAAAATAGTAAAAAAAAAAAATTACTATTTTTAAGAGTTTTCTTCCTTTCCCTCCTCGCTATTTTTCTCCCCATCCAACCAAGGGTTAGAGTTCAAAAATTAGCCGTGGTGGTCGCTGCTAGTTGTTAATAATGATATTTTATGATAGTGATTAACTATAGCTAACGATAGTTTCCAATAGTCAAATATAGTACATTTGAAAATAAAAAATAAAACAAAAATAGCTCTAAAATGGTTTCATTTTTTATTTTTTAAAACAAAAAATAAGAATAGTTTTAGAAACATTTAAATACAAAACACTTGCCCAAACCCAAACAATTTTTTGTATTTTTTTCCCTTTAAAAACATAAAAATAGTTTTTGAAAACAAAATCAAACAGACCCTAATATTCCACTCCCCCCCCCCTATTTTTCTCTAAATACATGCTCTGCCTTCATTCTATGAATGTAAAGTTTCTATAGTTGGATAACCAGATAGCACATAGTACCTCCATGGGAGGGTGTGTGAATAATCTAAAATGCCCTAATTTTGAGTTCAATATTAAATATTATTCATTAACAGGTACTTGCAGACATTATAGAGTCTCTAGCTGGAGCAATTATGGTTGATTCAGGGTTCAACAAAGACATTGTGTTCAAAAGCATCATACCTTTATTGGAACCTTTGGTAACACCTGAAACTGTACCGATTCAACCTGTTCGTGAATTGCATGAACTCTGCCAAAAACAATATTATAAATATAAGAAGCCATTGGTTTCCAGAAGCAATGACTTGACTTGTGTCACAGTTAGGGTTCTAGCTAATGGGAAAATTTATGAGAAAACCTCTAAAGCTCCCAATGGGGACATGGCTGAAAAACTAGCTTGCAAGGAACTTATGACTTACTTGAAGAAAATCAATAATGTATGAAGACACAAGGAAGTGGATACACGTAATATGTATTCTACTAATATTGCATCATTTGAAGAGATCTGGCAAGGAAAGTCTTGTGATCATATAGGCTTCTAATATTTGGTAGATTTTTATGTACTCTTGTTTGTGATATGGTGTGATATCCATTTCCCTTAATCTGCTATTTAGCTCTTCACTCGGTGCCTTTCTTTCTTGTAATATTGTTACTTTTTAGATTTCACTTCTGAGGATCTGAGCTTTGTACTGTATTCTCATCAAGATTTTTTTTTTTTTTACCTGGCTTTTTTCTACCCATGTAGACAAATATGATTGGAATTTTGAACCACAAAAAATAGAAAGAGCATTGTATGACACATAATTGATTGTAATAAAAAAATTAGAAGAAATTTTAAATTTAAGAAGTACACGGTCAAGGATGGTTATAACATGCTTCAAAGGGAATTAGAGACTTGGGGTTGCTTGAGAATACATGATGAAATATAAAGGCATGGTCATTGATGAAATAGAACACGAGGGGGTGAAATTGAATGGAATACTCCATTGTTTAGGAATTTTATTAGAAGAATAAATATTTTAGTTAATTATTATTTTAGAATAATTATACAATTAAAATATTTGAATAAGATATAATTATATTTTTCAGTTTTTCAATTTTAGGTTGAGAGTGAAAGAGTGAGAAATGGTGAAAATGAATAATATTATGAATTAAAGGGCAAAAACACTCGAAACTTTTTCACAGGAAATGCCTACCTCAGAACTTTTAAAAAAGAGTACACTTTCACCCTACTATCAATGTTTGGCAGTTAGTTAATGGTTTAGTTGACTTAATTTCCACGTGGCTGATTTTTAAAAATAAAAAACAAAAGAAGCAAGATATGGATTCCAGCTAATTGACAGGTCATGGGTGGAAAAGTGGTAGTGGTTAATGTTCACCACTGACTCCGACGATGAATTTTCATCGCCTTACCTTCGCCGAAGTTTCCTCCATCGAAGAAGAAGAAGTTCATCCGATCCTTATTATAAAATATCTTCAATCATTGTGCGCATCTTTAAAAAAAAAAAATAATATCATAAAAAAAATGAGATATACTCTCACTTTTAAGTTTTACCATTCACTCAAAATAATAGGAGAGCGTAACTTGCAGACGCTGATGATCAATATTGCAGTGTCCCAATTCAGAAGCTAAAAGAAGATAGCTGATGGTAAAAAAAAAAAAAAAAACAAGAAGATAGCTGATGGTAACCCTTAAAAAAATTGGGGACACCTTGAAATTGGGAGCGTTGGGAGGAACGGAAGAAGATAACGAATCAGAAAAATCTAAGCACACAAGAGAAGCCATCCTTCTCTAGTTAAATACTCCCAAAAACAATCTAAGCAACAAAGTTCCCTCCAAAACCTTGAGCAACAACCCAAGGCGCACAAATCTCGTACCTCCTTACACAAACCCAAGGAATCAAACAAATGAAAGGACCAATAATTGGAATTTATGTATGCTATGGTAGGTATAAAATCATACCGAAAGCATCGAAACAATTTTGAGGGCAACATCGTCAGGTAGCGTGTTTTGGATAACTTCCAATAACATTTGTTTTTCTCCCATACGATACTATATCCCGAAAAATACAAGAAGGAACACAGCCGTTCCGTCCAAGATAAACAGTAAAATTTTACCCAGACAGCCGCTCTAAATGCGGCAGTTCATTTGGAAGCTACAAAATAAAAATCAGTTTCCGTAAATCGAACCTGAAGGAGTAATCGAACCTTAACAGCAACGCAAGAGAAGCAGATGGCAGCGTGAACCATTATCTGAACGGCGAGTGTGATCAGAACCGTGCTCTGCTCTCAACTTCAGAGCTTCAAATCGGTATGGAGCAACTAACGAGGTGCCGTACCCTGCTCTGAGGAGAAAGGAGGGGCCGATTTGATTATGGGTAAGGATGAGGAATGAGATAAATCAGAATCGGTGAAGACGAAGCAGAGGTGGAGGTGGAGGGAGAGACCACCGACGAGCAGGTGTTTAAAAAAAAGAAATTGCCACATGGCAACAGGTGAAAATCAAACTCAAATTAACAGCTAATATTGATATCAGGACAAACTTGTAATCTTCTTAAAAGTTCTGGGATTATATTATTAAAAAAAATTAAAATATCTGGCATTCCTCACAAAAAAATTTGAGATATTTTTACTCTTTAATTCTAATACTATCTATATTATACCATTTCATAGTAGGTTTAGAATAACTTGAAAAGTCACTTTAAATCATCCCGCAACCTTTTAAAAAATATTTCAAAATAATTGTATAAAACTTTTAATCATCTTACTTCATCTCATTTTATCTAAAAACTTTCCAAACAATCCAAGACTGGCCAAGGGGTATTTAGGCGGTGTTGGACTATGTTCCAGCCTTAGATAAATTAAATCATATAAGTAAAAGCCCAAACCCAATAGCACTTAATTAAAGTTGGGTAAATCATTTTATTTAAATTTAAATAACTCTGAATTATTGGTTGCAAGAAGTTTAATGAAATAGTTATGATTTTATTTTCAAATTTATGTAATTAATATACATAGTGAAATATGAGAATCCAGCTCTATTTTTGGAATGAATGTTGAGACTCTTCTTCTACTTCTCTTTCTCCCACTCTCTTAAATTATATCATGTATTTGCTGTGAAATTTGTAACCTAGATTCATCATGGTAATCCAGAATTCTCTTGTGGTAGAAGAGAAGCTCTAATATCTTTGAGGTATGTTTTCAGGACTCTAAAATTCTACTGGTGAGCTATATTATGGAAAATTAAGAACACAACCAAGAATTAAAGCAATAAAAAAATATCTCAATTATCATAATTTTTCCAAACTTATTCATTTCATGTGTTTTTTAGACTTAAGTTTTGTTTGGTATGATAAAAGATTTTTTAATGGAATTGAAATTAAAATTAAAATAGAATTGAATTATAAAAGTATGTTTGGTATGGAAATAAAATTCTAATACAATGTTATTAAAATATTAAAAGACTAAAGAACCCTTCTCATTAAATAAAAAGAAACCTCAATCCCAAGCGTGTCGAAAAAAACCAATAGCCATCATCGCATTCTCGGAACAAGAAACCACAATGCATTGGAATAACAATATAAACAATGAACAAGAGATCAAAACGAACCAAAAATCACTGGAATTTGTAAAGCAAGAACTAGAACGGATTTTGCGACCATCAAAATATATGATTTCGACAGGCTTTAAGAAGCTCTAAGAAAAACCATTGCAAGATTAAATCGTGAAAAATATGCATTGGACTTATGAGTTAGCAATTAATGGGCAAGAAGTTGTTATTGATGGGTTTTAAGAGGCATGGGCCCAATTGAAAGAAAATAGGGTATATAATTGCGGAGCAAGAATGAATTATTGAGTGGAAAATCATCTAAAGTTGATATTCATGAAATTTTCCTTTTTTATATATATTTTTCTCATTTTATTATTTTTGAATGAAATATAAAATCTCCCCTATCTCTCTTAAAAATGAAAACTTTATGAAATTCACATATTCTTAACTTTAAAGGACATATTCTTATCCATTTACTTCTCTAATAGTTACTCTTCCCTACCCTTTACATTTTTGCTTATTTTCTATGAACTTCTTATTATCACTAAATTTATGACGATCAATTCCATATATAAAATATCAATAAGTTACTTATGACTATTTCTAAACTAATAATGACAAGTTCAACAATAGCTTTATAACCTAGTAACATGTAAGCTCTCCTATAAGTAGGCATCATGGGTTGGATTCCTCTTATAATCTCATACCATTAGTATCTATCCTTCTGATTCAAAAAAATAATAAACAAGTTTATTGACATTAAGATAACATGAGTAAGAGAAACAAAAATATTAAAGAAGAAAAGAGTAACCATTAGAGAACAAGATGATTTTCCACACAATAATTCACCACCCCCACACCTCCTTTATTAAAAAAAAAAATTTACAAATAGACTATCATATAAACTCTATTTTAGTTTTCAAGACACTATTAAATGCTAAATATGAGCCCTATTTTCTTCCAATTGAGCCCATTAATTGGTAACTCATAAGCCCAATCCATATTATTCTTGAGCCATGATAGATTACTCTTACAAAACCGGTAACAAGGAAACATCAACAGGGTATTTGGATGACTTAATAGTTCTATGGAGGAAAGACATTCCTGATTTTAGAATTTGATATTAAATTGAAAAAATAACAATCAAGAATCTCTGTATAAAATTTATATTACTCAAGAATCAATTATTGTCAAAACTCGAATGGATACTTCATTTGAATTAATCTTTTATCAACAAGTATCCATTCGAGTTTCAACAATAACTCATTCTAAATTAACAATAGTCAATTCGAGCTTATTTATCAATAAGTATCTATTTGAGTTTTGATAATAATTGATCATTAATTGTTATAAATTTCATACAAAGGTCCTTAATTGCTATTTTTCCTATTCAATTTAAAGGCACAAAAAGGAGCAAATCCATTAACAGTAATAAATCCAAAGCATGAGCAGGATGATTTCAACTTCAACTCAAGTGTCGGGTAAAGACCTTCAATTTGTTGTTTTCACAACTGTGCATCAAAATGCCTTGCAATTATCTATTGTGTTTATTTTTATTACCTAAACATGGGCTGAGATAGTAAGATGTTTATTTCTAAAAAGAGAGTGACTTCATGTGAGCTAATATTCGTGATAATAGTTGTTTTAATTTAAAAAAATGAAAAAAAAATTCTTTTATTTTTTAATTAAATCTTGATTATGATATTTTTGCCAACCTTAAGTATGATGTTATTGGTATTTAAATTTGAAATAATAAAAAAATTTAAAAAAATAACATGTCCTTTTTAATTGGTATTGGCATCAAAATATGGATATCAACCATTTTCGTTCTTCTCAGGTAAGATAAAATAATTGGAAAAATTAAGTAAAAGTCTTGGATAAGAAAGTTTATTGTCTCATGAAAGTCAATAATTAGTAATGGATGGATTTTAATGGATTTGGGTGTAATTCGAAGAAAACATATGTAAAATTAGAATAGTCTTTTGACCATGTTGATTATCACTTCTTGATTGGTTTTACCAATGTTCTGAAAACCAAGCTAAATTGGTGACCAAGCTAAGCAAAAGCTTGCTCTTCTTTTAAAAATCGTTTTTGAGCTTGAGTCAAATTAGACAAAAAAATTAACTTTTGATAACATCATAATGAAAATGATGATTCCATTTGTTTATATTCCACTTGCCAGTTGTATAACAAAATTCACTTACTTTAGCATGAAAAACAACATTTACATTGTAGGTGTAAATCACAAGTGGTTAAGGGAGAGTGGACCATTTGTCATGCCAAAGGATATTTGGTCTCATTTTTTCAAGCCAACATATGTTATGAATTTATTCTAGATTTTACAAATACTACTCCAAGATAACCTAGATTTATACATAATAGGAATAGTGGCTTGTTGCATTTATATTTCTCATGCAAGACAAGAATCTAAAGACTACTAGGTTTCATGACGAGGCCCTAGCAAAGTTTCATAATGTAGGCAATATTCTAAATTCAACATTTATTAAAGCCAAGTCTTTTAGAGTTTTTCTCTTTGGTGATATATTTCTAAGATAGAAGGTGAGGCTTTTGCTTCCATTGAACAAGTTTTAGAAGAAGTTTTGAGAGCTTTTTTCCAAATCATCAGAACATTATCAAGCAAAAGCATAGTTTATATGATATAATTGGAAAAGGTAGAAAGAACATATTTTTATAAGAACACATTTTCCTACTATGTTTAGATAATGATCGTTCTATGTAAATATGAGTTTGTTTTCTCCAACATAAGCAGAAAGGTTAGCTTGAAAGGTTTTTGATGCAAATAAGAATGCTAACATGTTTGCCAAGATTTTTTAATAAGAGGTATTCAAAATTTTTCATAAATATGCATGAACCTATTTATATTAACATTCTTTTAGAAGAAGAGTTTAGATTTTGTTGTGTTTATTTTTATGCCTTAGAGCCATGCAATTGAGACGAATATTATTGTATGATTTTTGCTTGATTTAGACATGCATTTGCAAAAAGTAACATATCATCAACAAAAAATATGGGAGAAATAGTAGTGTCATTAGATGGTAGACTAATATATTTTCAATCTTCCCTATCTATGTCACTGAGAATGCAATGACCAAAATGTTCAATACATGAAACAAAAAAAAAAAAAAAAAAAAGTGAGAGAGGATTTCCTTATCTAATACTATGTGAAAGGGCGACTTCTTAGGAAGGGTCTTTGTTCCAAAAAACTTTCACGTAGGTAATTGAGATGGTTGCCATGATGATTTTTCTAAAATGGTTATGATTCCAATTATTTAAAAAAAATTGTTAATAAAATCCCATAAAGACTTATTAAAAGCCTTTTTAAGATCCATTTTAAAGGTTATGTAATCTTATCTCTCTTTTTTGTTTTTTAATCAGTGAATGATCTTTTAAACAATAATAATATTATTATTGTTTTGCCTCTATATATGAAACTATATTGATTGTTAGTTGTCATGTTAGAAAGGTCTTTTAACATTCATTTTGATGAGATAAATAAATTCAATCACAAGTGACCTTTGCTTCATAGGATCAACTCAAGAACAATAAATGTGTTTATTGCAACTAAATTAAAAATCATTTTATAAAACACTCCCAAGAAATTCATTAACTCATTAACTCTAAAATTTCAAAAAGTCTTCAACTTTACCTTATTAAATATAGGGTTAAAGGGAAAAAATATTATAAAAACTTTTTCCTAGAGACATTTGCTATCTTTATATTTTTTTTTTAGAGTAATATCACTGCAAAACTTTTAAAAAGAATACAATTTTACCCCACCATTAATATTGACTAACATTTGACTGTTCGACTTAGACCTTTACTTTTAACCAAGTGCTTACTGTTCTTTTACTCCCTTAGCTGTCATTCTAGTCTCTCTCTCTCTCTTCATTCCATAGCTCTTCATCTCC